AGTCCTTGTACATGACGTCCTCCACAAACTTGACGTCACGGCTGACCAGCGTCTTCTTGCTCTTGGGGTCCCACATCAGCCACCCCTTCGAGTCAGGAGCCATCCCAAGATGGACAGCCCACACAGCAGCAACTTCCAGCTTGTGCCTCTGCTCCTTAGGCACCATCACAAGCCCCATGCAGCCCCACACCCGCAGCATATCAATGGATGGCTTCTTCCCAAGCCAACGCTCGTACGGCACCCAATGCTTGTCGCCAACATGCGTCAAGACCCTGTTCTTGACCGTGATGACATGGCGAACAGCTTCAGGCCAGAACTTGTAGGGCATCCCTGCAGCCCCCAACAGAGTCTTAGCCGCCTCGCCAATGGTCCGGTTGGCACGCTCAGCAATGCCGTTCTGCTGCGGTGTTCCAGGGCAGGTCAGCTGGTGTCGAATGCCGTTCCTCTTGAGAAACTTGGTGAATTCCGCTCCAAGGAACTCTCCACCACGGTCGCTCCTCAGCACCTTCACCAGCCGCATCGCTTGCCGCTCCACCATCGGCAACCAATCCTCCTTGATCGCCGCTGCAGCATCGCTCTTCTTGGACAAGGGACGTGCCCACGTGAAACGGCTCCATTCGTCCACCATGGTGAGGAAGTACAGCACTCCCCCAGTCCCCTCCGTCCTCATAGGACCCACCAGGTCCATGTGCACCACCTCCAATGGTGCCTTTGCCGATCCCTCCGCACGTGGAAACGGGAACCGCGCAAACTTGTTTTGCATGCACGCCTCGCAGCTGCCATAGTGAGCGCCATCTCCTTGCAGCTGCAGCCCATGCACGCACTTCTCCTTGTGCATCACCTCCAATGTAGAAACAGCCACGTGTGCGAGCCGCCGATGCCAAGTCTCCCAATCCGCTTGGCCCGAGGTAGCCGACGCCTTCACCGCCGCGCTTCCTCCAATCAGCTCCTCTCCTTGCACACCTTGCTGCTCCTCCTCAGTGACACTCTCCTCCATAGATGCCGCGGCTACCGCCTTGCCTGATTTCTGCCAAGGGAGGACCGGGATCTGCCACATGCCCTTGTGGACATCCCCTTTCTGCCGCAGGTCCCAAATGAGGCGCTTATCGTTGTAGGCACGATAGCGCTCCGAGCCAATCGTCTCGGTGTTCACACCTGCATCTCCCAACCGGCCGGTAGAAATCAGGTTCGCGCACAAGTCCGGCACCCACAGCACGTTCTTCAGCCCCACGAGCTCTCCATCCGCTCCCATGAACTTGGCGCATCCCATGCCCATGACCTTGGCCTTGGCGCCCGTCGCGGATCTGACTGTAGAGATGGGTGCGGGCTGAATCTCATCGAGTAGGTCCGCACGAGGAGTCATGTGCCAAGAGCTCCCGGAATCAAGCACCCAATGGGTGAGAGGGTGTAGGAGAACCTTGGCAGCCATAGCGAGGTCGGTTGCACCTTCGTTCACGAAGAAGAAGAACCCGGCCTTCCGCTCCTCAGATTTGCCGCCTTTCTCCTCATCCTTCTCCTCTCCACTAGCTCCCATGACTCCCCCACTCCTCTTGCCACCATGCTCGTTGCTCGATGAAGACGGGGTCCAATCCTTGGGCCATTGGTAGCACTTCCGCCAACGATGTCCGCGCTTCTTGCAGTAGAAGCACACCTCCCCTTGACCCCCGCCGCCATCCTCCTTAGGGTTGTCTTTGTTCTTGCCCTTCCACTTCTTCTTGAAGCCACTCTTTCCACCTCCAACTCCATAGCCAGCCCCCTCCTCCGAGCGCTCCACACTCCGGCGCCGCAAGTCCTCCTCAAGAATGCGCGCCCGGATGTAATCCACGCTCCATTGGGGTTGTTGGGAGTTGAGGTTGATTGCAAGGGCAGACCACGACTCCGGCAGCCGTATCACGATCTCCACGCATTGCACGAGCTCCGGGTACACCACACCGCCGCCTTGGAGCTTCGTGAAGATGTCGCGCATCTCGTCCAACACCGGTTGCATCGGCTCTCCATCAACGAACTTGATGTCGCGCAGCCGCCGCGCGAGTAGCACGATGCCGGTAGCGTGTGTCGGTGAGTGCACATCCAGAAGCTTCCTCCAAGCCTTGGGGCCACACTCTGGATCACCCAAGAGGTCCTTGATGTGGTCAAGTTGTCGTCCTCCAACCGCTTGCACCATGAGCATGTACGCGTCGAACGATCGCTTCATCCACGCTCCTTTCAGCTCCGCGGCCTCCGGCATCTTCTCCTTCCCCTCCACCAGGTCCAATAGCTTGTATTGGGTGTACATCAGCCTCATGCGGAAGCTCCAGTGCTCGTAGTCCTCCCCCATGAATTTCTCGATAGAGAACGCCTTCACGGGATCCACGGTTGTTGGAGATGTCATAGAGTTCGAGGGTAGCGTAGGGTTGGCTGGTTGGTGAGTCCCCACTCCACCACCAGCAACTCCCCCCTGCTCTCCAGCCTCTCTAGCTCCAGCCATCTCGCCATTAGCACCTCTGGAGTCCGTTCCAGTCATATTGAGGCCTTATGAACGGTGGAAACTTGAGAAATCGTTTGGAGAGAATTCTGCCAGAAATTTTGACTTTACGAAAAACGCCGTCGCGGACTAGATACTTCGAATTAGAACGCGATTCGACCACCAATCGAACGTTCGCAAGCCGAGCTACTAGAAAATGGTCTCACTCGTCAACATTGGTTGAGAATTCACGACGATTCGTCGTCTCAAAGTCGACTACCCGCTCTGATACCACTTGTTGTTCAGGATCCGTCACTTCGAGAAGCTACGACGAACTCATTACTCAACTAAACGCAAATCCGCTCGGTAGGATGTTGCGCCTTAGGCTTAGCTACCATCTCCAATTTGAATCACTTAGAAAGATGGTCTAGAGAGTGAGAACCATGTAAAAACGTCCAGCAGCCGCATAACTAGGATGGTGGAGGAAGTACAAGCATTAAGGCATGAAAGTTGGAGTTGGGAACCTCCAAGAGAACCATGAGAGGGAAGGGGTTCTCCAAGAGCTAGGGAAGGATGGTAGGAACCTTCCTAGCAGCAAGGATGCAACCCTCATCATGAGGTCCTTGAGGTGTCACATGCAAAATCCAATCTAGTTGGATTTTGCCTAGGTGTTGCAACATTTGCAACCCATGCTAGAAACTTCTAGCCACCCCAATCCAAAAGTCAAAGTTGCCTTCCTAACCACCCAACCAAAGATCCCTTTATAGTCATGTCCCAATAACCGCCCAAATTAGATATAACCCCAAAAGGTAATAAGAAATCCAAATCTTGGAAATCTTGTAACTTGGGCGATCTTGGTCGGAATAAGGTGATCTTGGTATCGTTGGAAAGCTCTGAATTTCTCCTGCATGATCAAGCATGTAGACTTGGAGAAAACACAGAGATGATAATATCCAACAGCCATGCACAATGACATATGCTCATGTAAATCATGCAAGCATAAATGGCACGAGCACTCAGCAGGACGTTAGGATGACATGCACTCAGAATGACGTGCATCCAACATGATGAACCCTTTGCTCAAGGGTCTATTCCAACATGGGTACTCCGTGGACGAAGAAATCACTACAGCACAGAAATAGAAGCTGTTACAGTGAGGGAAATACTTAGTCGTAAGGAAGGGAACAGGGAAAACTTGGGTACCAAATTGTGCCCCGCTACGACAGATCCTATTGAAGGAGCTTGACGACGTACCATACGCGGGACATCGGGGAGCAACAAGACGTAAGCAGGGATAGCAAAGTATACTATTGGTCCTGGATGGCAGCAGACGTGCAGCAGTTTGTCACCTCCTGCGACACGTGCTAGTGGATGAAGAGTAGCAAAAGCAGGGTTACTTCAGCCTCTACCCGTACCGGAGCAGCCATGGCAGCCTTTCGTACTCCTCCTCTTAAAAATGAACCTGATACCACACCACTCTCCATCGAAGATCATCGGTTCTATAAGCAGCAGTTGGGGTGCCTACTGCTCGCCGCCGTCACGTGCCGGCCGGACCTCTCCTACATCGCAAGCAAGCTCACGCAGTATTTGCACCGACCTGAAGGGGAGAATCTACTGGATCTACGCCGAGCACTGCAATACTTCATCTCCACCCCCGACGTCGGACTCACCTACAAAGCTAATTTATCTGCTACTCTGTAGCTTCATGGCTAGGTAGACGCGGACCATGAGGGAGATATTGACAATAGACGCTCTCGTATAGGCTTCACAATTTTCCAACTCCAACCTGCTGGACTCATCTCTTGGAACTCCTACAGGCATGAGCTTATTGCTCTTTCGTCAGCCGAAGTCGAGTTCATCATCGCCAGCGTAGCTGTTCGCGAAGGGCTGTACCTGATGGAGCTCCTTCAGGAAGTAACAGTGATGATGATCGAACACTTCACATTACTCTATGACAACTAGAGCACGCTCAAGATCGTGAACAAGCCAGGCTTCATGGACCGCACGAAGCACATCGCACTCCGTTACTTTTTTGTCAAAGACGATATCGACAAGTGAAAGGTCAAACTCACGTACTGCCCAACCGGTGATATGGCAGCAGACTTCTTGAATAAGAAGCTGTCACGACAGAAGTTTCAGCACTGCGCCAACCTCTGCGGGATCTCGAAAAAATTCCATGTGGCTCACCTTCAGGAATGAAGGGGAGTGTTGGAATAACCGAAATGTAATTATAACATTCCCGAAGTTCTCTCATTGCGAGCCACTTCATAACAAAACAGCACAACTGAACCAGTACCGCAATAGCTCATATAGAGCACTCGACAGCTCGAGAGTCACTCGCAGGGCTGACGTTTTATATTAGGCCTCCGTAAATCCGGGAAAAAAAGTTCTTTTGAATTATGGGTGCACATTTTTCAGAAATTTGCTACTCTGATTGCTTAGTGTCCAACCGCGTGTCACTCTGATTTGCCAGGGTCCACAGATAGAAATCAGGGTTGTTAAAATTGCACTATGCTTTTCATAGCCGCACTGCGGTACACAACATGCTAGAAGCTTTCTAGTGCACGGACATGTCAATATGGTACACCTCATCTACATCCTCATCGTCCGAGAGGAAAGGGGTATTCTCCCCCTCCTCCTCCCCCACGAGCTTCTGATCGTCGCCTAGGTCCTGTTCCACATCCTCCTCCTCCTCCTCCTCCTCCTCCTCCTCCTCCTCCTCCTCCTCCTCCTCCTCCTCCTCCTCCTCCTCCTCCTCCTCCTCCTCCTCGTTTTGCCCGGCAGTTCCAGCGTCGTCCTCACCCTCCTTCATTTTCCCATTCCTGTCATGCTCTGCCACAGCCAGCTTCGCGCTCTTCGCAGGGCACCTCCTCCTCATAGACCTTCCGACCTCCAGTGCTTCCGGCCACTCGATGTCATACTTCAGGAGTGAAATCCTCATCAACTCCCCAAGCTGCCCGTTGCAGAGCGCCCCTCGCACCCATGACTTGATCCCGTTCTGTATGAAGAAACCCCTCTTGCACTCCACGGTTGATAGGGTGAGCACCGCGATCGCCTAACACGGAAGGATGAGGTTGGGCCATCTCCTACCAAGTATAATCATAAAGGGCACAATTCAGCAAAGCATTTGCGACATGCACAAACATTCCGCGTAGGCCCGAGCAAGGCGTTACCTCTTCGAGTCAGCGCTCCCGAGAATGTTGGTCAGCCACTGCGCAAAGCTCTCCAGCTCGTGGTGCGTCTCCATGATGGCACAGAATGTTGGGAGCTCCCTCTCTGTGACCTTGATATCAAATCCTGTCAGCCTGTTGCGGAAAAGCTTGCTGCATCCCAGAAGCGACTCACGACACTTCCGCTTTTATTGAGTGTTGATCCTCGGCCACTTCCCCGCCTGAAACAGCTCTGTTGGCCCTAGCTTCCCCAGGTCATCAAGCCGTTCGTTGAAATTGTCTACAAAATCGCGGGCGAACCTGTGGCACAGCTTCACGCACTCGTCGTATCCACTCCCATACTAGTGCCCTGGGAGCTTCTTCTCGTGCATAGTGTAGAGATGGTTGATTGTGCGTCCCTCCCCGTCCATGCCTTGCACCCGGACCTTCTTCCCTCCACCTTGCTCGTGCAGCTCTATAAAGCCGACCAGCCAGCTCTTGCTCTCACCACCGAATAGCTTGTCGTTTTCAAAGTAGCTCTCCATCAGATCGGCGGTGGTGGAATCAATGGTCTTGGAAATCTCGGTAGACAGCTGTCACAGTACAGCCATAGAGCACGTGTTAGACAGGTGTGGGTTAAGTTAAACAAACAACTCACAAACGCAGGCCAACTGTTGAATCTAAAAAACAAACTTACAGCACGCTTCTGGAAGCAACGGTTGAGGTCGTTCATGTCGGCGAGGAAGAACAGGGAGAACTGAAACTTGTAGCACGTCACAATCTCGTAGGCCTTCTCAAATCCACATGGCATGATTCAGAGTGCCTTCGATTTCACCAACCTCCCTGGCTGACTGAGGGGAGAATAACCGGGCCTTAGCTGGCGAGATGGGAGTTGGTGGACACGTGTAGCAAAATGCAGAGCTCCTGTCTGTTCTCTCCCCCTCCCTCTCCATCTCTCCCCCTTGCGCCTGTCAACTGCGCCTCCCATCACCTCTGCTGCTCTACAGACTGTACATCTTTACTTCATCTGCCTTCATCTGCATTCACCTCGCTCTAGCTGGGTGGGCACACACAGCCTGCCCCTCCCTGACCCCTCCTTGCCGCAAACCTCTTCATGCCTCGGCAAGCACACCACCAACAACACTCTCTGCAATGCCCCAACACCATGCAAGAACAGCCCACCCTCTCCTGCCACACCTGCCCCCCCTCTCTGCTCTAGCCCCCCCTGCTGCCCATCCAATTGTTTGTTTATCTTCCACATTACTTCTGCCTCCCCTCCCACCCACTTCTGCTGCTCTTACCTTCCCTACTCCACCTTTCCCCGCTGCAACAGCTGTTTCCCACCTCCACCCCTTCTTCCTGTCCATCCATCTTTACATCTTGTGTCTCCAATCTGTACACCGATTGCCTCTTGTCTGTCCCCTTTTTGCCCCCCCTGCCTTAGATCACTGTCACCGAAACGTTCCTCGGTAGCATGTGCGTCCCATAGGTATGTGGATGTCAATGCATGCACTCTCTACTTGCCCTTCCACTGCTCAAGTCAAGAAAGAAGGGTCTGAGATGCATCCTGGAAGCTAGACTTGAGATGTCTACCTAGCTCAGGCCCTGGATGCTAAGAAGATGCTGGGCCGGGCAGGTAAGAAAAGGCTAAGGTAGGCTACAAAATATACTTAGGGGTCGCCTTGGCTGGTTTGCCTAGATAGTGTGCAGTAGTGTGCGCTTTACGATGAAATGTTGGTCAAGTGGTCAGCATTTTGCGCAATTGGCAATGGCTTAGAGAAAAAAAAAAGCTGGATTTTTTTTTCTCCCAGGCGACAAGAAAAGGAAAGCTTCCAGATGTGAGCGTCTATCATCATGTCCGGATGTGGGATGCTTTGTTTTTTAAGCGTCTTTCTCAACTTAGCCTCCCCATCCTCCCCCTCCTACCCGTCCTCCCCATCCCCCCCTTACTTTCCGTCCTCCCAATCCTCCCCATCCTGCCTTGTCCTCCCCTTCGTCCCATTCCCTTCCTCCCCTTCCCCCTTTTCCTGCCCTTCCCCACATTTTGGCCCGCCAGACACATCTCTTTCACCTGCTATGCCTCCACCGGCACACCCCTCAGGCTGTGCACCATCAATGTGCAGGTGATGCAAATGCACGAACTCTCCTGCCCTCCCTGCCCTGCCTGTCCCTCCCATCTTTTTCCCTGTCCCGCTGCACCTCTGCCAGCACGCTCTTGAGCAGCCAATGCGCCCCATGAATATGAGAGGGGGTAGGCATGGAGGTGGAATCGTCAGGATAGAATAAGGTGGTGACTAAAAGCATGTGCCTTGTGCTTCATCGCGGCATCTGCTCACTTCCCTCTCACAACTCACTCACTTCTTCCCCCACCAAATCTTTTAGGAGCCTCAGAAATCGCTTCTCTTGCCTCGGAGAATGTGATGGGCTCCTGCTGCTTCGCACTAACTGCTTACTTCTCCATCATCCAGCCTTCACTCCACCACCACGGTCAGCACTGCTCATTCCTAATGCACAAAAGACCACCCTCTTTCCCCTTGGCCTTATGTCCACAGGCCCTCACTTGCGTAGAGATGATTTGCATTATACACTTGCAACTCTTGACATTTGCTATACACTGAACAAAATCATTTTCCTTATGCATTCGATCTGTACATGAACTTGCACCCAATTTTGAACTAAACCAGTTTTGTAATAAACATTTTGCATACATGGTTCGCGACTTGCTGTTACCAGTTTGTGTAGGTTAGCTATAGCAAAAAAAAAAACCTCTCGCTCTAACGAGTCAGATCTTCCCTCTCGACACCCCACACGGACAAATCCTTCCGAAATGTCCCGCGATTTATTTCGAGCGCTGTTAGAACTAGACTAGTTAGGTACAGAGGGGATTATGGGCGGATACTACGATCTTCGTGTAGTGCTAACACCTCCGCAGCATGAAGCGCCTTAGTGAGGAGAAACAGAAGCGCATCATGCAGCTAATTGCGGAGGGGCGTAGTTACCGCCAAATCGCTAAGGAATTGGGAGTTTCAAAGTTTGCCGTCCATGATGAGCTCCTCCGCCACCTTGGTCCGAAAACATACGACGAGCTAGTGCCGTCTCCGGCGAGACCTGGTCGGCCGCGCAAGTTATCAGAGCAAATCGCGTGGATAGTCGTAAGGTCGATAGTTTCTGGTGAATCAAAATCCGCCGAGGCCGCAGCGAGAATGATGTCCTCTACGCCCGGCATCAGTGTCGCGGGCGCCACCGTTCGAAACACTCTCAAGCACCACAGAGTTAGTGCGATAGAAAAGTCGTCGAAGCCTAGATTATCAACAAAAAAATGTCAAGGACCGCAGGCAGTGGGCCAAGGATCATCAGCACTGGACGATCGACGATTAGAAACGAGTGGTTTGGAGCAACGAAACGAAGATCTGCTGGTTTAGTAGTGACGGACGTAGTTGGGCCTGGATTAGGGAGGACTGTCATGTGGAGCTGCTCCATGTGAAACAGACCGTCAAACATGGTGGCGGCTCCATCATGATTTGGGGGTGCATGACATACAACAGCGCAGGTTTTATGTGCAAGATAGAGGGAAGAATGAACGGCAAGTTATACCGTTCAATCCTGCAAGACGAGCTGCAGCAGACAATCGAGCGTTATGAGTTGGATCCAGAGACCGTTGTGTTCCAGCATGACAATAACCTGAAGCATACATGCAAGATGGTCAAAACTTACCTAGCCAAGCAGCCGTACTCTGTGCTCCCATGGCCAGCATCTAGTCCGGACCTCAACCCCATAGCACATATATGGGTTTACTTGAAGAAGCAGCTGCTTGCTTACCCCCGCCCCCCTGCAGGCATTCTCGAGCTATGGGACAGAGTACAAGTGGAATGGGAGAAAATCCCTGCGGCTTGGTGCAGTGAGCTGATCGACAGCATGCCTAGGCGTGTGCGGGCTGTGCTCAAGGCCAAGGGTCGCTGGACCAAGTACTAGATTTTGCTTGGTTTGCATGTGTGACTGTATTTGGAAAAAAATGACCATATGCTAGTATTTGCCTATTTCTATATTCGCTGATTGTTTAACCTCCGATGTACAACCCTCCGGGCTTGCAGCCACGTGTTTCGATGTACAACCCTTCGGGCTTTAACCTCATGGCGTACTGTTATTAAGGCTTAATCACAATAGCCACTAATGCCCCCATCATGTCTTGAAACATGAACATGTGGACAGTTATTTTGTTCAGTGTATATATTTGCTTGAAGACTGGCCTTATGGCCCCTTGCCTGTGTAGAGATGCTTTTCTTGTACTCTTGCATCTTCTATATTTGCTATTTCCTTGCATGTGGACTAGCCTAGTGGCCCCTTGCTTGTTCTCGGACTTGAGACCCACCTCGAGACTTGTGAACTGGTTTTGTGACCGTTGCTTGTCTTTGCTGACTGGTCCTGTGACCCTTGTTAAGTGTTGCTTTTTGTAGGGCTAGGAACTACGGGAGTGTGTCAAGCTAATCTGTTATAGCTTATATGAGTTTGTCTAGGTGTACTTTCTCTATGCTAGAGTTAGTGTTAAGTTTCCTATATCTTGCTTGTTTGTTTTTTTCCTAGTCATTCATTCGGCGGTTATCATTCTGAGAAAAAGAGGTTGAATCCGAAGTTATGCCTCTTCAGTTCAATGGAAATGCTTCTTATTCTTGTACGAATTGTGAAATATGTTTCTGTTGTGTTGTCCTAGTATTTTTTTTAATGTTCATACTTTTTCTCAAATAGAAATCGTTAACTCCTAACAACCTAGATCATGACATAATCGGTATTCACCATATGATCAACCAAGCAAAGACCGCACGTGAATCCTAATATAGGGTCACGTTGAAGCAAATAATATAAGCAATACAGTCTACCATGTAAGGCAGGCAAGACGGCTCTAGTGGTCCCTTAGCACTCTGCAATGCTGGCCGCTTCACTTCCAAGGATAACTTGTTATTCCAGCAAGTGACGCGACGGCCCATTTGACTTTCAGCTTCAAAATATATGCCTTCACTTCCTCCCTCTCCGGTATCACTGCGGTTATCCTTGAAAGCCCATATCACAACAACCCCAAGCTTACCTGTTAGTGCTCACTGCAACTTATTCGCTTTGATGGTTGATGGTTTGATGTTGTTCCCCGCAGGTGAATGCACATCCCATTTTACACACAACTTGCAAGTTCATCTTCTGTGTTTAGACGACATAGGGTTTGGCTCTCAGATCAGCGACTCGGATAGAGTGCAATGGAAAGCAGGAATGGGAGGGATAGGGCGAGGTTTGAAGTGAAGTGATGGGATATGGTTGGGTGAGATGTACTGAAACTTTTGACTAGGCAGCTTCTTCGTAAAAAATTTGGATGCCATTTTTGCCACTTGGGCAGTAGGTGAGTTGGATCTTGCCCTTGTCGATTTCATCCTTGACAAAGAACTAGCGTATGAGCAATGTGTTTCGTGCGGTTGACAAAGCCGGGACTATTTGCGATCATTTTCACGCTCTGGTTGTCACCCAGTAACTTGAAATATTAGTTCAACGATGTTTTCGCTTTCTCTAGGAGCTTTGTGAGATAAAGTCCTTCGCAAACTGCTGTGCTGGCTGCAATGAATTCCGCTTCTGCTGAAGAAAGGGCGATGAGTTCCTGCATCTGCGAGTTCCAGGAGATGGTTCCTGCGGGTTCAAGCTTGAAGATGAAGCCTGTACAGGGTCTCCTATTGTCTATATCCCCAGCATAATCGGCGTTCACGTAGCCCGTAAGCTGTAGGTTAGCTGTTAGGTCCGCTTTGTAGGTGAGGCCGACCTCGGGTGTAAAGACGA